TTACTATTCATATGGATTGATATTGTTCATATTGATTACCACATGTTCATATTTAGCAAATCTGAATGATTGCATGCATATCATTTATATTTTGCCATTGAATAAGGTTGTAGGTTATGGTGACTTATTAGTCTATTAACTCATTATGTGATTTACATATTTTATGAGATAGTAAGGACCCAGTAGAGTGAGGATTGATTTAGATTTGCTAGTATATGTATTTTACTTTAAATTGTTTATTCTTTTATAGGTATGAGTAATTGTGATAGAATGATGTTATTGATAGTGGCCCATGATTATTATTATATATGATTTTTGGATATGATAGGTATATTTTTTATATAAATAAAAGGTTACATATTGTTGTGTTTTGAAAAATTCACAGCAGTAGAGGAATATGAAATTTATCGTCATAGTTATATATGAAGATCCAACACACAAACATAACTAAGTAGGGATGCAACGTTCATAAGAGACGCCAGAGTTTTACGTGAAAACTTTGAAAGGGAAAAAATCACAGGGCATCGCCAAGTTGAAAAGATTTCATTATTATTTGAATGGATTACAAAACTCGAGCCGTCCTTCAACTTGGGGACAATGCAAATATAATATGTTGATGATATTGCTAAAATTTAAATGAACATGACAAATATCAGAAATTAGACGTCAATAGTTAGTAGACTGTTCTGTAAAAGGTTTGAAGATGGTTGAAGATCTAGTGATATCCAGCAAATAGGAAGAAGTTCGAGGATAGTCTGAGAATGAAGGGAAATCCAGTGACGATCGGGAAGAGATCTGTCAACAGTTAATGAATGGGCGAAAGTCTGTCAATCGTCTGGAAAAGATCCGGTGACAGTCGACAAACAGACAGAAGTTTGGCAATGGCTGATGGCCGGGAAAAGAAGCGATACTTCCTCTTCTCATGTGAAGAATGTGAGTCTATTTATAATTTTTTTGGAGTTACATGATGAGTAAATATGGAGAAGATCAAGGGCATGTTGGGAGTGTTCTATCGGATGACACATATTGATTCCCTTGATTATAGATAGTTTATTAAGCATTTAGATGCTTTAGATATGCCAAAATTGAGTAAGCTTGGGCTCATGGATTTGTCTTGTCGAGCCGCTCAATTCGACTATAAGCATGCTATATTCATATATCATTTGGTAGTCCAATTAATGTTCTAAAGTTTTCAAATAGAATTTCGACATTTGATTTGGACTCATTTTGGCTTGGATGGGATCAAATTTGATGTCGTTCGGTTCGTCTCCTTCGGATGTTCAATTTGACTATAAACTTGTTGAAATTGGAGATCATATGATCCTGATTTTAATTTTTGAAGCCTCAATCTCATATTTACATTGATATACGTGCACGATCAAGATAAAGCTTTTGTAACATATCACTTATGCTATATCATTTTTGTATATGATTATTAATGTTAGCTCATGTATATAATTAGGAGATAAAATAGATAATTTTTTCAAATTAAATATTGTGGCCTCATATATTAAATTTGTGTCAAATGTTGATAATAATAAAAAATATTCCAAGGCAAGTCAAATAATGACTATGTTATCCCCATGAGATTTATAAGTATGCTTTATTTTTATTTTCATTTTTCACATTTTTAGCTAAAAGCATTGACATAATGATGATAAGTCACTGAGTTTTGATTGTTTCTAAATGAACAAGTAAAAATAACAAATAAACTTATCATAAACTTATTGAAGAAGATGGACAAGAGTTTTCAAAATACCATTGATGACTGATGTGAAAATATAAGCTAACATTAATAATCATGATATTATTATTATTATTATTATTATTATGTGTAATAACTCACTCACACATTTTTCATATTTGTGCGTCTCATCAGCCTAAGCATGAGCGAATTTCTCAAAAATTTTATGTGTGACTACCCAAACAATATGGATGTCCATTTCAACTACCTTTTATTTTAAAACCATAGTTGGAGGGACTCTTAGGTGTTTGTGGGGTAAAGGTTGCATTCAGACGGTGAGCTAAGACCAGCAGTCAGGCGTTGACTTGGCACTAGTGAACTGATGATGGTTTGACAGTGGCAAACCAACAATGACCTAACGATAATGAATTGATGAGGCTCGATAGTGGTGGCCAGATGTCGATAAACAAGCAGTGGCTTAACGGTAGCAAATCAAGTGAGGGTCCAATGATGGTGGTTAGGTGAGACTCCAAGATTCTTCAAAATTTTGAGCACTCTACAATCTCTCATCCATTATATTATTATAAAAGTATGATCTATTCATAGTATTTGTGAGTAGCACTTTTTATAAATATAATCATAATCCTAAAAAACCATAGTTGGAGGGACTCTTAGGTGTTTGTGGGGTAAAGGTTGCATTCAGACGGTGAGCTAAGACCAGCAGTCAGGCGTTGACTTGGCACTAGTGAACTGATGATGGTTTGACAGTGGCAAACCAACAATGACCTAACGATAATGAATTGATGAGGCTCGATAGTGGTGGCCAGATGTCGATAAACAAGCAGTGGCTTAACGGTAGCAAATCAAGTGAGGGTCCAATGATGGTGGTTAGGTGAGACTCCAAGATTCTTCAAAATTTTGAGCACTCTACAATCTCTCATCCATTATATTATTATAAAAGTGTGATCTATTCATGGTATTTGTGAGTAGCACTTTTTATAAATATAGTCATAATCCTAAGATACCATGTTCAACAATCCATATTAATCCCCTTGAGTATATACCAAATTTTTTAGCATTTTATGTGCTTTGATGGTGTCTGAATTAAGAGTTGTTTGGCTCCGTAGATTCATCTCATCGTGATGCTTTATTTGACTACAAATATGCGAAATTTGAAGGTCATTGAGTCATCCAAAGTAATAACAATAATGTTTGTAAATATGCTTTAAGTGATAGATTAGGCTCATTCGGAATCAAATAAGATCATTTTTTATATCAATGGATTAGACTCCTCAATATGTTCAATTTGACTACAAGTTTGCTAAAATAGGGTTCATGAGATCTCAAATTTAATTATGATAATTTTTTTATTCAAATATGCATCCTAATTTGTGCTCAATAAATCATTCTATTTTCTTTTTCTCTTGCAAATTTTAATTAATTTTCATCATTTTCTATTTTATGATTAGAATCATCTTCTCTCTTCCAGAATAAATCAATAAACTTAGAAGTGGATTTAAAACCCCCAAAAAATAAATTCAAATACTAACTCGAAATCATTAAATAGTTTAATCTCAAATTCAAATTCACAATAACAATATCTCAAACATGACTAAAATCATCTCTTCGACGTTTAGGGCCAATGTAATTGCACAGTGGATTAGATTCATAATGCCAATATTGCTATTGGGTAACACTTGTTGTAACAACCCCAAGATCCGTGTAGCGAAAGGATTCATCTGATCGTTCTATTGCCTCCTCTTTTTTTCCTTTCTTTTCTTCTTTTCTTTTTCTATCGGTTTCCTCATATCATTCCATACATGCATATATCCAGAGCCAGAGATAATTACATTACAGAAAAGAAACAGCAGCGGATACTATAATTCACATATAGTACAACAGTCACAGTACAACAAAAGAGAAATCTACACTAGCCGTACAGGCTACAAAAGAAA